AAAATCACCTCTTCTTTACATTCCTTCATCTGGGATACTGATGCTAAAAGAGCTTTTAGTGAGTTAAAACGACGATTCACTCCTGCACCTATTTTGATTCATCCAGAATCTCAGTTGGAGTTTGTGGAAGATRTGGATGCTTCTGGCTCTGAGGTGGGAGCTGTGCTCTCACAGCATTCCTCAATCCATCCTGTGCATTTTTTCCCCAACGTTTATCCCCTACAGAGAGTAACTATGATGACGATGTTGGCGATAGATAACTCCTGGCAATGCAAATGTCACCAGAAGAATGGATGCACTGGCTGGAGGGGGCGGAGAGTCTATCCTTCATCTGGACTGACCACAATAATCTCACCCGTTTCTTCAACAAGCTAAAAGATTAAATGTTTGACAAGCCTGTTGGTCCATTTTCATTGCACGTTTTCATTTTTTCTGAACACAGAATCCTGACACCCTCTCCTGGCAKTATTCCACCTTGGACCATCACAAGGAGAAGATTATACCCCATTCCATGTGTAGCAGGTTAATAATATTAAAATGAGTAACACTTCGAATTCCACCAAATTGTTCTTAATTTTTAAGCAAAAAAGTAATTTATTTTTGTTTTATCACCTGTTTGATCAGAGCAGAGCAGTGATTATGTCCGATTRCATTTGAAGGCAACTCACACAGCATGTAGCTTGACTTGATCAGCTGCTTGAAGCTAATCAGTTTTATATGGAGTACCTCAAATTGATGCCTAAATAACAGTACAAGTATCTTTCCATGAAATTATTTTGGTGAAAGTTAAAATCTCTTCTATAAATATTACTTGATTAAAAGTCTTAAAGTATCTGATGTAAGAAGAAGAAGAAGAATGAGGGGATGAAGGGTGATACTGTTTTTACCAACCATTTATTCACTCTTTTAGAAATCAGACTTCTTAGTACCAAAGTGTGAGATCTGCAGGGAACCCTGTTCGTAAGCAATGACTGAAGAAGAAATCAACTTTGTCTTTAGAAAATTTATTAAAAAAAATAAAAGATTCACATCTTATAATGGATAAAAATACTAAAAAGTAATAACATAAAAGACAAAAATAAAGGCTTAGAAAATAGTTTAAAAGGAAGGGTGAGATGAATAAAGGTGCACTGAGATTTTAATCRTCAGTATCAAACAAATAAAGTCTGTTGGACAGGATCTTACTTCTTTTTCTCATAATGGTGAGTTTAAACATAAGTGTTAACTAGTTAACTGTTAACTTAACTTTATCACAGTKAAAAATTCACTGTGGAATTTGGAATGAGTGAGAAGTATTAAGATTGGACCAGATTGCCCAGTTAGTTATTTTTATTTCATTTCATTTTTATTTTCACCTGTTATTTACTGGGTTATTTCTTTATTTATTACTGCAAGCAAGGAAATGGTTTTATCAAAAGTTGCATCAGCACCAACCTGACCTGACTTTGCTTTATCTTCCAAAGGAGAGGAGAGTGCCTTGTTCAGCTCATCTGGATATTTAGACAGCTTTACCCTTTTGTTGAGCCCCCTGGATTGGTTCCTGTTCAGGCTTACAAGTGTGACTTGGCAGATCCTGACTTCCCAGGCTCCACTGAGATCTACAGCCGTCTTGAGGTCACCCACAGGTGGACCATGTCAGCAAAAATCAGAAGTTTGCTGGAGAGTTGAGGTTGAATTTTGGCCGACAGACCTCCTAGTAGTTTAATTCCTTCAAGCCACAAAAGTATTTCTTGCAGTTAAACAAAGTTTTTATTCAAAGGTTAATTTATCTTTGTGTTGGCATTAAAATTTTTAATTCTGAGTTTTCATGTTGTTTTCTCAGATAAAAAAGAACAAAGACAGGCACACCCAGACAGACAGACTCGAGTGAGGGAGGGAAGCCACCTCTCCCCAGAACAGGTTTCTGTGTTTACGTCACTAGATTGTYTGGATTCTTTTCTCTCAAGGTTTAATCTAAGATACACCGGAGACGTGTTCCACTGTCCAGCAGCTCTGACCAAAATACAGACAGTCTGTCTCTCAAGGAGAGCGTTGTCTCAAAAACAAAGAAAAGAAAAAACCTGTTAAAACACCTCAATGATCTTCAATGGTTAGAATCACATCTGCACTGTTCAGATCATATTCACAGTCATATACAGTACGACAACAATGAAATCAACCAAGAAAATAAAACATTTCATATTTTTTTGTCTTTTCTTCTTAAAAATCTGAAGAATATGTCTGCATATTCATGCTGTAGCTGATTATCTGATGAAGGAAAATAAACCTTATCGAGACAGAAAACTGTATCTTTAAAATAACTTTTAAAGAAAGTGGTTCAGTTCATTTCTGGAACATAATCTCGGGGTTAAAAGGTCATCTCAGAAGAGAGGTCCTTCATGCTGGACATTTCTTAAGTATCAAAAGTAAATTTCTGACACCTCTGAGGTGGTTCCAAGCAGGTAAAACCGAATATYGCAGGCTTGCAATTTTGGCGTCAGCAAACTTCTGCCTGTGGTTGGGCTGAGCCGGTGCAGAACTTGCAAATCTTGGAGAGGTGAAGACGAGCACGTGCAGCTTGATCTGGACAGAGTTGTCTGAAATGAGCCAATTGCCGAGAGGCTTCAGACAAACTGGCCGCCCAAGGTTACACTCACACTTATAAACAATGCTGTGACAAATAATATATATA